CATTTACAGATGTTGAGCTGTCTAATTCATACATTCCAGTTGCCTTTTTTTGTACCACTTTTTTTTTTTTTTTTTTGTACCCCTTTTTTTTTTTTTTTTGAGAAGTACAATGAGTGTGTAGTGGCAATTAACTCGAATAAGCGGCATTGTTGAACTGATTTGCCTATGATTGGTCCTCCAGTAGAGGCATCCGCCTGAGACTTTGACAGTGGTGAAAGTTTGGTGTAAAAATCATGCACTTGATTTCCAATGGTAATCCTATGATTTGGACACTTCATCATTAGCTTCTCGAACCTATCCATGCCTTCTGATAGCTTTCCACATCTTTCTATTGGAAGGTTTGAATTTTCAATCTGATCTTTGCTACCTTAGTCTGTGGAAAGAACTTGTTGTAGAATTTCCTAGTCAGCTCTTCCCATGTGGTAATGTTTCCATCAGGTTCAACATTGAGTCATTCTAATGTAGCATCTCTCAGTGTATACGAAAATTACCGCAACTTGATAGCATCCTTATTAAACCCTTGAGCATGAAATTCTTTTAATTCCTGATAAATCTGGAGATATGTGTGTTCGAATTCTCATGAGGTAACCAGTAGAATTGTAGAGCATTACTCATCAAATTGATCCAATATGCCCTTATCTAAAAATTGTTCATCCCAAAATCTGGATACACAATATTGGAATGCATAGGGCTACTATGGTGTTAAGAACATTGAAATGGGCAAATCTCCTTCATTTATTTTCCATCGCTCTTGTTGCTGATATTTTGCGGCCATTTGTCCAATTAACTATATAGAAATAGGATTGTTTTGATTGTCTATAGAAATAGGATTGTTTTGATTGTCAGCCATTTGATGTTGCTATTTTTCTTTGTGTTCCTTGCATTTTTATCTGAATGTATGTTCTATTTTCGAATCAAATAGTTCAAGATCGTCGTCTTGGGTACGAAACATACAACAAACACCTTTTTTTTTTTTTGTAAATAAAAGAAAATAAAAAAAATCAAATAACAGTTGAAAATAAAATAAATTAAGACTAAAAGTAATAGTCCTCGGTAACGGCATTAAAAAATTGTTGCGTTTTTACTATTGCAAGTGTACGATATTAAACAAGTAATATAATGGATCTATAAGTACGGATTGTTATTCCTAGGAGAACTATAATTTAGCACTTAATCTACTTTCTTTCTAACTACTATTCGACAAAAGCAAATAAAGATTGTGTGATTTGATTTTTAATTTAAATATGTGAAAATATGTGGATGTATACAAAGAATGGTTTAGAGATTAAAAATGAACAAATACTAGGGTAGAATAATTTCACCTATTAATCAACTTCACACCTCAAATCAAGATTCATATCTAATGTAGTGTTCGATCGAATTCTCCTATTATATTCAATTTACCCTTCTCGAGTTCTCATTGAGCCTATTTACCTAATTCAATTCCATATCTCTATACTAATCAATTGTAGTTAAACGAAATCTTAATTTTAGGAATTCACTTATGATCGTAATAATTAGTATATGTATCTCTACATATTAAACCAATTTACCGAATTTTACTATAAGGTCTAAATTGTGAACTCACCTCTCGATTTGTAAAAGATTCACAAAATCATAAAATTAGTGATCAAGTAATTCAATGCATTAAACTCATAGTAAAAATCAACACATAAATGAATAAAGAACAAAAATCTTAATTAAAAGACATAAAGGATCCCAATTGGGTTATATTATTCACCTTAACAAGAAATTTAGCTACTCATAATGAAAGAAAAAAAAAATAGATAGTCATGAGTACATCACACGATTTTGTAGTATAGATATAAAAGAAAAAGATCAATCTTGCACCAAAATCTCTTTTATCTTCCAATCAATGCTTCAAATAGTGAATTGCTTATTGTTTTCCTCCCTTGAATTGCTTCTTTGAATCTCGAAGTATGTTTCTTGCCTCTCAATATGTACAAAATTCCCTACAAAACTATGGAAAAATTGAATATGTCGTTACCTTCTCATTTGTGTAGAAAGTGGGATTTTTATGTACTTTAAAAAGGGCTAAAAATGTACCCTAAATGTACCTAGCCGGCGCCACATCTCTATTTTGATGTCACGGCGGTGCCACCTTTCAAGTAAAAATTAGACAATACTTATTTTAGTATTTTTACCATAACTTTCTTTCACGATATCCAATTAAGGAGATTCAAGTTGGGTGGTAAAGCCAACTCAAAGGGCTATAACTTTGCTTTATAGCCATTTTCTAATTTGAAAGTTTACTTGGTCAAAAATGGGTTTAAATGTTGAGCTGAAAATCTAGAGCGTCCTGGTGCAATTAAAAATTGATTTGTGAAAATATTTTGGTCATATCTCATTCCTTTTGACTTTTAATTGCATCTAATTAATCCCTAGCATTCTCAAATCATCATCTCGACACAACTTTTGAGCATTTACACTTTAGCTCCCAAACTTTGGATCTTGTCCTCCTCTCATTTTTGTCAATTTTTACTTCTTTCTTTCAATTTCACTTCCATTTATCTAGTTTTACCTAATAAACAAAATTTAAAATAAATTATGCTATAATTCTTCAAGAAACTATTAAATATCTATATTTTTAGATCCAAATATGTGTACAAAATGCACTTATTAGTCTATATTAGAGAATATAGATAGTTTAGAAGTTAAGAGTATTCTGCTTCACCACCACCCCCACCACCAATGCTACAATATCCTATTGCTAAAGACAAAACTAAAAGAGATATTAGGTCTCCATAGAGATATGGTAAAGCTAATTTGGCTGCTTATGCTTTGAATGTAGTCGAAGGTACTGAGTCTAGTGAAGAACACTCTATAGACGCAGCTAGTTGTGTTGATTTTAATTTTGCTGGAGATCTTGATAAGAGAATATCTATTACAAGATATGTTTTTATCTCATTTAGTACTTGTTGTTGAGTTTGTTCTTAGACATTTTTGTGGAAGAAGTGGAGGTTTTTGTTGAAAAATTAAGTTTTATTCCTTACATTGGAATTCATCTCAAGGTAGAGAATTATTATTATTATTATTATTATTATTATTATTATTATTATTATTATTATTATTATTATTATTATTATTATTTTGAAGATTGAAATTTTATTCCTTGTAGTGGAATTCGTGTTAAAGTGGATATTTGTTAGAATTTTGATGTGACCGAGTTCTATTTGGAAATTCTATTTGGAAATTGTATAGTGAATTCTATTTGGGAGTTCTAATATTGAGAGTTGATTTTATGTCTTGACGAAGTCTTAAAAAAGTAAAATATGCATGAGAAGGAGAACAAATCGATGCATTTTCGCTTGTTGGCCACAAAAGGATTGCTTGAGCTGTTTTAGCAATGGGCTTAACGCTCTCTATCCACGAGCTCACTGGTCGAGTGATGTTGAGGTTTTGGTTTGAACCTGTTCTGCAATTTAGACAGTTTTTCACCACTATTTCAATTCAAATACTCTGTTATTAGTTATGGTTATTATATTAGGGCTGCACTATGTTAGACTTTTCTTTGCATTATATATATGGAGAGTAAACCTCTTGGAAAAATCATCATACTCAATTTATAATCCTCCATTTTTGATATTAGTGAATTCTCTTTTTCTATCCGTGATTTTTTCCCTATTTGGGTTTTACGTAAATCATTTGTTCTTATTATTATTATTTTTCATATTGCCTAATTCTCGTTTAAGGGCTCGTTTGGCATTGCTTTTGAATTGGACTTGTTTGGTTTATTTTGTTAAAGTGTTTTTGGTAGTTAAAAGAGTTTTTCGAAAAAGCTAGTTCAATATGACTACCTCTAAAAATACTTTTCAAACAAAATTTACATAATTTCTTCAAAAAGATCTTCTACAAGAAGCAAAAGTTATGTCAAATGGGTGCTAAGTCTAACATTGATATTAGAGCGTGTACTTATCGATTAATTTGTTAACAACCCCATTCCCTTTAAAGTTCCATAGTAAATTGTATTTCCGACCCCCATTGCCTAAGGGAAATAACCAAATCTGCTCGCTATCGCTATCCCTATCAATGGGTGTACTTCTCATGCCCAGTTACTGTGAATATCTCACCAACTGTGAAAAGCTCCCCACTGCTGAAAAGAAGGCCTACCTAGCCATAGATCGTAAAAAAATTATCTGAGTGTCCATTACCAACCTTTAGCCTCACTCCCTCTTAAGTAATTCACCTTCCCACATAATGCTTTTCCGCAAAAAGGAAATCCCAAGCTCTCGCAGTGGCATCCAGAACAGGAATATCATGGTGGCATTTGGCCCTTCTAGCTATCTTAGCCTCCAAGCTAGCTTAGCCACCAAAGCTTTGTTGAACATCCCAAGATCCCTAAATTCCAAGCCTCCGATTCCTTTAGCTCGTAGATTGTCTCCCAAAATAAAAATTTTGTATACTTTACTATCTAAATGCAAACTAATAATTCGTACCAAACTTACAGCTTGTTTGGGAGTGATTTTTTATCCCAAAAAATTGATTTTTTGATTGTTATTTCACTATTCCAGCCGTTATGTTTGTTTTCTTCTCTCACAGGTGGACCTCACTTTTCTCCTAACGGTAAAAAAATCAATTCTTTAAATCACTCCCAAATAGGCTCTTACATATTAATTTTATCTATATACAACTCGATCTTGTTTAATAATTTGTGTTACACATATATTTGACAATGCAATCGACAAAATTCCATCTTCTTTTCTTAATATTTTCGACTATTATCTAAAACTCTCGCCAAACGATCGCCTAGTGCTTATTTGGCCCAGGTCAAAATTAGGTCAATCCCATCTCAATCTATTTTCAGTAGGCCTTATAATTGGCCCAAGCTCAACAGTTATCGTATTACTCTTGCCACCTGTCATGTAGAACTGTAGAAGGATTCACCTGTAGTTGCCACGTGGTAATAACCGCTCTCAACGGTCAACATCATATAACGTTGTTATCGCGATCTTTTTCCTTTTTTAAATGAAGCATTTTTCTTTATGAAATTCAGATTTCCTTCCGTCTCGGAAAATTTGTATTCTGTTTGGTAAATTCCATAGCCATGGCCAAGAAAGTGCCGTCTATTGCACTTCACAAGAAGAAGCCCATAAAAAATAATAACAAAAGGAAGAAAGTACGGCCAATATTCAAGAAAATCTGGGATTATTTCAAGTCAGATTCCTACATGTTTGCTCCTTTGCTTTCTCCCACACCCTCATTCAGTAAGTACTGATTATGGGATTTTCCGGTTTCTTTTTATCCCCAAATTACTGTTATGCTGTAATGGTAATTGCAATTTGTGATTGGTAAATTTTCTCTTACAATATGGTCTATATATTTATGTAGATGTGGAGGGATATGATTATGAACCAATTAAGGAAAATAAGAAGAAGAGTAAGAAGAAATTCGTTTGGGAATTTGTGGATTATATGAAATCAGATTGCTACTTGTATGCTCCGCTGGTCAGGCGTCAGCCATGGTTATATTCTTCTAATGATACTGCCATCCCACCACCTAAAGGTTTGCTTAATTACTAGCCTTTATGGTAAATTCTGATATGAACATTGTACTTAAAGACATTAAATTTATTTTTAACTTGTCAGAAGGTATTATTTTTGTAATGTTACTGGAATTTGTGGAGTGCTCAGCGTTTCTTCTGTCTACTTTTGCAAATTTTTTAGGTTAATTTTTGGGTGGGGCGTTTTATACTTTATCATGCAATTACATTATCTGGTTGATCTAAAGAAAAATCAAACTGGGGAGACAAAGGATTTATGCTGCTGGCCTAAATTTGTGTAGGACAGAGGCTTAGGAGTTTGATATATTTGTCTTTCTCCCCCTGCTGTTTTTTGCTATTTGAGCTAGTGAGAATTTTAGTTATCCCCAATCAGGAAACTGAGTAGACTTGCTAATTTTTTTTGTGCATGACACTCAATTTGTTCCTTCATATAACTCGAAAAAGAGAATAAATCGTATGAACCCTTCATTTTTATTGAATTAATCATTAGTTTTTTCATCTACAAGTAAATAAAGTTTCATCTTCACAGTTCTAAATTCATCTTTTTCCTTGGGCTTATCATTTCAAATTGCAAGATTTGGTTATTTGTGACTATATTCTTCTAGCGACACTGCAACCCAGCATGACGATATTCTTAATTGCTGGACATACCTTATTAAGATGGACCCCAAGTCTTAATATGGCATCAGAGCGTTTTGACTCTAACGAGTACGATCCGTCCGCTTCCGCCATGACTTCTCCGGTTGTCTCTCACCCCACTGGTGGTCAGACTTTTGAACAACATCTAATCTCCATAAACACTAGCCAATTACAGCGCCTCACCACCTCCAGCTACCCAACCTGGCGTGCTACTTTCTCTTCCCTCCTCTTTGGGTACGGTATTATGGGGTATCTTGATGGAACCCTCCCATGTCCAGCTGTACCCACCAAAACCACTTCGGCAAATGATGTTGCTGCCTATACTCGCTGGTTTAGACAGGATCAGCTTCTCTTGAATGCCATCTTGGCTTCTGTTTCGGAACAAATTGCTCCTCTTATTGCTTCGGCAAAAACCTCCCGTGACGCTTGGGACAAGCTTTCTCGCTTGTATGCCAACAAGTCAAGAACACGTGTCATGCAACTTAAAGAGGCACTCACTCTCATGCAACGTGGTGACAAACCCATTACTGACTATCTCCACAATATCAAATGCATTGTGGATGAATTGGCTCTCATTGATACTCCCCTATCTGATGATGATATTACACTCTATGTCTTGCATGGACTAGGTCCTGATTATCGTGACATTGTTGCTCCTATCCGCACTCGCAC